GAGCCCTTCCCTCCTACTACCTACTCTTATTAACCTAAATTCTATATCAAGATTCAAGTTTGTTACTTGAGTTGGAAAAATAAGTGAAAGAAAAGAGCTTACAAGAGAAACAGGGAGAAAGGATTCAATTACTCTCTCTCCTTCTAGAAAGCTCCAACCAACAGCTGAGGACATTCTAGTTTCTGACAGGTTTGGCTCAAAATCACAGTAAAGCAAAGACCCCAGGACACTGAGGATGACATTCTTTAGGACATGCAAATGCTGGGGGGAAAAATTCTGCACCCCTAGCCCAGGCCCTGTACAAACAAAATAATAAATATACTCACTTAAAAAGATGTGTGTGCACAGGCCAGTATAAAGATTTATTTAGAAGTACTACAAACATAGCATTTTGGACAAAACTTGGGAAAATTCAAGTGTTCTAAATGTGTAAACAGATAAACAATTTACAGATAAATTCTTCAGTAAAAAGGAAATAATTCACATGGACAGATCATGAAGTTACTACATTAAAGAAGTCAAATGAGAGACAGACAGAGAGATAGACACACACATGCACACACACACACACACAGAGACCACACACACAAGACAATCAATATGGTTTGATCTCATTCATAGGAAAATTTGGGAAATAATCTACATTGAGAAAAAATGGATTATTGCCATGGAAACAAGGGGCAGGAGGAAAGGCTTACCAAGGGGCACACACCAGAAATATTTCTGGAAGAGTATTATAAAGGTGTGCAATAATGTACAGTTGCACACATACAGCAAAACTCCAAAAGATCTATACTGTGACTGCTACAGGATCCTAATAGTATTTCAACACTGCTGTTGTAAAAATAAAACTATACTTAAACTATTATACATGTGATAAGAAAGTGGTTCTTGGATTAGAAAAGTCATCCAACTTCCATCTTCTGATGCAAGCCACCTTGGAGTTATTATTCCAAGCGATAATGAACTGCAAACCTCTAACAAGGAGGTCACATTATCTCAACTCTGGTATGGCCACGCAAGTTCATTGCTTTTAATTCTGAGTATACCTTTTACTTATTATTTTGGTGCAGGCATCAAACCTAGGGCCTTGTGGATATTAGGTAAAAGCTCTAACACTGAGCTACATATTTACCCAGGGAAGGTCTTCACAGTACTGGCCTATCCTTTATTTTAACTTCAACTTACTCAAAGTCCTTTAAGACTACAGAAAAACATGTTCATTGAAAAGGAAAAAAGTAGGGTTATCGCTACAGTTCAAAATTAGCATCTCTCTGGGGCTGGGAAGTGGCACAGTGGCAGAGTGCTTGTCTTGCAAGCATGAGGCCATGGGTTTGATTCCTCAGCAACACATAAGCAGAAAAAGCTGGAAGTGGTACTGTGGCTCAAGTGGTAGAGTGCTAGCCTTGAGCTGAAGAGTTGAGGGACAGTGCCCACGCTGAGTTCAGGCCCCACGACCAAACCAAAAAACAAAACAAAACAAAACAAAAAAGAGCAAGGAGAGGCAGTAAGAGCTTCCATCAGACTCTCCTTAAGCCCCTCATTCTTTTCTTCCTGGAACTGACCTTGCATACAAAACTGATGCTCAGATAGACAGCAGGATTATTTGGGCCTTGACTTTCCCTTTGCTTCCTCCTTGTCATCACCCTACACCTCCCCAGTGTTCTCCATGAACTCTTCTAAGTGAAAATCAGAAACATTTACTCCAGTTGTAATCCACAAGTATTGGATGGTGTAGCCAAATCCCCAGCACTCAACACTGTTGAAGAATGGTGACCATCAATGTTCTCAGTGATTTCTTTTTGCTTTTGTGTTTTCGCCCCTATGGTTTATACCTTGTCATTGTGTTCAATTTTGGTACCCTGGGTATTGTATATGCGTTTATATGAACTAGGGAAGGGAAGGGGAACAACAAAACAGTGCGACATTGAACAAAGGGGAAACCCAGGCAACAGTGATTCTCACAAGACAACAGGGAGGAAAGGATCTGTACAACTTGGGGGTGGATTGGGGGAAAGAGAAAGAGAGAGAATAATAAGGGTAGTGCTAGCAAGTTGTTATTCTCCCACTATCCCTTCCCTTCCTCACCCCACCACTCAGAAAAAAGAATGGTGACTCTATTGCAACTTTTGCAAGACCACAAAAACCAATACAAAGCCATGTGAATTGTATTGAACTTTATCCTCTATGTGTTTCAGTGTTTGGTGGGAACCATATGAACCATCTTGTTAGCCCAAATTACTACCAAATTGTTAAAAAAAAATTTATGTTAACATGCTTGATACATTTGTTAATACTATGTTCAGAAAAACAACTTGATCTTGGTTCTATATATCCTGGTAGAAACCATGCTTGCCTTCTAATCTGCAAAATATATCATATAAAAGCAATTAATAAACATACTCAGAAAATTATGATTGACTAAAAGTTGGCTGAGAGGCATAGACTTCATTTTAAGAACCAATAACAGAACATAGACTAGCTAATCAAATCTTTTTGTGCAATTTAAACCCACAAAGAGCAGGTAAATCATCTCCTTGTACAAACTAAGAGCTACAAAACAATTCTTTCATTTTAGATGACTTGAACGTAAATCTTTTCTTTTCCAATACAAAGTTTATTCGTGGAATCGCCATCACTTACGCATAGACTCTACGCAAGGGCTGATATTGAATACAGTATGATACTGGAAACACATAGACATTGCTGCTTGTAGATCTCTGTAAATTTGACAAGCTATTGAATATTCCAAAACTTTCCATGTTCACCAGTTCAAAAAGCAATGTACGAGCTATCTGCAGGCCCATTTATGCTGCACTATTTATAATAGCTCAGTTGTGGAACCAGCCTGGGTACGGATGGTTAAAGAAACTGTAAATATACACAAGAGAGTTGTCTTCAGCCATGAGAAGAACAAAATTAAGCCATTTGCAAGGAAATGGATGGAAGTGGAGATCACTAAGTTAAATGAAATTTACCAGCTTCACGTGTTTTCCCTCATACATGAAATCTAGGGGTAAGGAAGGACCTGAAATGGGGGATGATTAGCCATGTGGATGCGGAAAGTGGGAAGTGATATGAGAAAGAGAAAGGAATGAGTATGTTCCAGGTCATTATATATACCTATGACACTGTCAATAAAACCCCTGACTTCGTAAAAAAATAAAAAAAAGCAATGTGTCTCAAATAATTAATATACACGTGTGAAAACAGAATGATAAAGCTTGTTGAGACTGGCTTGGGAAGCAGGGAGTAGACATGAAGAAGAGTGAAGGAGAGGATGATTCTGATCAAGGAATGCACATTATGTATGGATCTGGAAACCACAATGAAAGCTCTTGGGCAAACATTAATACTTTAAAAAAGAAAGAAGATAAAAAGGCTTCCTAGGAAGTTGGCACTTGAGGTGTGTGAGGTCCTCTCCTGGACTAGAGGCTTGTGGAGTTAATTGTGTTCAACAGAGATGTTCACAAAAATAGTTGTAAAGAACGGAGACAGAGGCCAGGTTCTGGGGGTTCATGCCTTCAGCTAGGTACTACGGTGTCTGAAACCTAAAATTGTGGCTCAAAACAACGCCAGGCAAAGAAAGTAGGTAAGACTCTTCTCTCTGATTATGAGCAAAAAGCCAGAAGTGGAAGTGTGGCTCAAGTGGCAGAGCTCTAGCTTCAAGCACAAAAGCTAAGGGACAGTGTCTAAGCACTCAGTTCAAACCCACTACTGGCACACACACACACATTTTTTTTAAAAAGCAAAAAGAACAGAGCTAGAATCCCTGTGAAATTGTCACAGGCCTATGGTGAAGTTCTGAGTGTGATTTAATCATGAAGTAAAATAAGATGAGTTCAGCCAGGATCTGAAGGTGTTACAGAGCTTATGTAGCTCCATCCAGGAAAAGAAGGCATGGCAAAAACCAAATGAGCAATGTAATACAAACTCAGAAAGAGTGGTTATGCAGTATTTTCCTCCTTACATTGGTCTAACCACTTGTCCTTGGAAAAATTTGGAAAGAAGATAAAAAGGAGAAAAGAGATCTCTGAAAAACATTCCCTTCTCTCTTGTCTCTGTGGGAACTTAGATGACCAGAACTTCTCAAGAGACTCTCTGGGTGTTCTCCTGTGACTGGCTCCAAGTAGAGAAACCAGGTCACTGACGACACTCAGCCACCCTCTGACAAGCTCTCCCTACTAATGGAGAACACAACAAACAGAAATACTCTGTCCCTTTCGCTTTTGCCCTACACAGGCATCTGTACTTGGTTGGCCAGGATGCCCTGGTCACAGGAGAAAAAAGGGTTTCCAGGATGACTTATGGCCAGGAAGAAGTTTGGCATCCTCCTGGGATGCCACCCTCACTGCATCTCACTCTCTTCTGTGGTCTCATGGAAGATCAGATCAGTGCTATGTCAGCTGCTAGGCCCGCCCAGATGTGACCTGTGCATCTAATTTCATTTAACTAAATGGCATGTCCACTCTTATCACACACATGTCATAGATACTGACTCTCTATGTCTCCAGCTCTGTTATTAGGCTCAGGATTCACAAAAAGAAATAAGAAATAGAGTCTTACTCAAGTTCAGTATTGAAAGACTATGCATGGCCTCACATCAGTGTTTTGGAGGCTGAAGGCACATGTTTGATTCTAGTTCTAGTGACTTCATGTGTTCAAGAAGGGAGTTGGGAAGACTTGTGGTTCTGTTGTCTTCTGGCTTCATTAATGCCTAGACTCTACTCATAACTTCATTATGATGGAGCATGCTGATGATGGAGGAATCCGTTTCCAAACAAGGTCTCTTTAGCCTCGATGCCTCTTTTCACTTCTCCATGAGGTTTAAAAACAACAACAACAACAGCCATTGAAGGACTGCAGAAATGAAGTCTCAAGGAGGAAGGATTAAGGGGAGAGGAGAAAATCAGAAGTTCTGACAAAAGAAAAAGAATATTCCAACATAAAGAAGCACACACACACACACATATAACAATGCACGCAGGCACACATACATCTTTCAGGCCTATGAAGCTGAGTTTTATTGAAAATCTTCAAAATGTTAAATATTTTTGTTCTCCTAGAGGCAGTCTAAGACAAGTACTGTTACTGCTACTGGTAAGTACCTATAAAAGTAAGATATATCAAATGTCATTCTGTCCCTCAAACAGTAACATAGATGGTACAGAGAGGCAAGGGAACATGGAGTTTATGATGCAAAGCAAGATTGTTAAAAATATCAACAAAACAAAATGAAAAACAATGAATCCTTGAGCTGAGCTTTAATCTGAAATCATTCCTGTGCACAGATTCTATGTGTGAAAATTAACTTGGACGCTTCTCATTGGCTTTGGCGTAATGGACAAGATCGAGCCTAAATGACTAGTTCAGAGTTCATTACTTGTAGGAGAAGAGTAGTGGTTTAGTCTCTCTGCAGAACATTACTTCAAGTGTATGTTGTCAAGCTACTCATAATAATTGAGACTACATAAGTCTTTAAACCATTGGTCATTATATAGATATGTAAAAGTAAGTTTAATCTATATTTGAAGACTCCAGAAAATTATTTTGTTCAGCATGAACCATTACCCAAATTCAATCAATATAGTGGGGATACTACTGGATTTGACAATGTACTTACTACAAAAAAAACACAGAAAGATGTAATTTGATATATAAGTTCAAGGTGATTACACTGCTAACTTTTCTTTTTAAGAAAAGGTGATAGGAACTAGGTACATTTTATATTATATTCAACTCAGTCACAGATTATTTATCAAATACCAACATGACAAATTTCCGAACATAACAATTTGCTCTATATGAGCATGTAAAGGCAACAGTGTATACTTGTGAGGACAAATAGATATTCATAATGACATGGTATTTTTAATAGACTATAAAAATGACAATATAGTTGAGACCCTAAATTCATATATAGCCCTTAATTAGAAAAAAATCTACCTAGTGTATAAGCTTCTAATCATATCTAATGAGAATCATTCATCTTTAAAATCATGGTATCTTTCATATAAAAGAACAAAAGATCTTAGAAAATAAATACTCATTTTCCAGCAATTAAGCAAACACCCTTTTCTATGCGTGTCTCTGGCTCTCATTGGTATTTCTTCATCAGATTGATAATTTCATCATATATTCTCCAGGGGGCATTCAAGCCCCAGATAAAGTCAATATGATTGTAATCAGGAATTTCCTTGTGGTACACCAAGTTGGGGATCTGAGTCTGTAAGATATGGACGTCACTGGCATCTGCCAGCCAGTCTTGAGCCCCGTTCCATAAGGCTATGGGCACAGGAATGTCTTTCACATTGTACATGGGAGGGTAACTCTACAATAAAAAAAAAAAAAAAAGAAAGGTTTAATATAATTTTCAAAACGGCAATAACTACATCTCCATTAAACACTGTCCAATAAGTCTGAACTGCGAATAACAGACTAAATTTTGAAAATTCCTTTAAGTATTCAAGTAGCCATTGCAAGAACAAAATGAAATCTATACCTGGGCACCAGTGGTTCACCCCTGTAATCCTAGCTACTCCAGAGGCTGAGATCTAAGGATGAAGATTCCAAACCTGGGCAAGAAAGTCCTTGAGACTATTATCTCTTAATAAGCACCAGAAAAACAGAAGCGGTGCTTGGGTTCAAAGTGGTAGAGTGTTATTTTTGAGGAAAAAAGATCAAGGGAAGCATTGTTTTCATGAGATACAGAGAAGCAACTGGCCCATGTAAGGGGAGACTAAGCCAAAGCCTCCTAGTTTCTCCTTTTTGGATGGAAGAGGCAACCTTGTTTCCTCATCCTTTTTTTTTGTGGGTTGTGGGGCATGAACTCAGGGCCTAATGCTGACCTGAGCATTTTTCCCTCAAGGCTTGTGAGCTAGCAATTTGAGCCACAGTGATACTTCTGGTTTTCTGGTGGTTATTTCAAGATAAAGGTCTCACAGACTTTGCTTCCAGGGCTAGCTCCTTGATACTCTGATCTCAGCCTCCTAATTTTTTAGGATTACAGACGAGAAACACTGGCACCAGCTTTTCATCTTTAAGTCAACGATAACCAAGTCTAACTCACAGGGATGCTGTGAGAATGAAATAAGAAACACAGATCAAGTAGCTCACACATTAATGTACTTGATGCTTAAAGATAATAATTCTATCTGTGAGGGGAAGTGCTTACACAATGTCCAAAAACCCACAGCTTGCACACCTGCAATATACGTGGAACTACTTCAGTCCACAGTGTCTGTGCTCATGCTCACTCTGAATAATGTGTGCCTCTTATCTAGAGTCACCCAAAGGATGGAGAGAGAAAGGCCAGTCCACAACACCACCTGCAAACCTGTGAGCTTCTGGAGAGGACAGAGGGAAATCAAATACCACCTAGGCATTCCTTAGTAGCCAAGCACAGCCACAACCTCAGTAAGGTAGGCTGCTTTCTAGAGCTGTTATTTGGGGGTCCATTTACTTTTAAAGACAGAAATCTTTACCTGGTTGTAGTGTAGGTAGTTTTTGGCACTGCTTCCCCAGTCAAAGGCTTGAAACTTATTAAGTTTTGAAATCTAAGAGGAAAATAAAACAACAAATTGATATATCATCAGAGATCACTGGACTTAGCCAAGTCATCAGAATTGAGGAACTGGGTTGCCATTGCTCACTAAACTGAAAAGTAGCTGCCCATCTGCCTCAAATGGCTCAGACTTACTCCTTGCAACTCTGGGAGTGTACACACACCCCAGCTCACAGAAATTGGGTCTTTCTGACATAGAGTCTATCAAGCAGAGTTCAAAACACTCAGAAATGTAGTAGAATGTTGCTGTTAGGATATGCGAAGTAAACAAAAGATGATAAACTGAAATGTGACTGAGGGGGATTGTGAGCACCTAAAAGAAGAGCATGAGTGAACAACAGGACTTTCAAAGGCCCAGGCCATTGCTTAAATGCTGAGTGTGCTCTGTCAACATGGTAGGAACAATATGCATTCCAGGGGCTCCTCTTCTAAACCACAGCAAACTCTCATATTTAGCCTTCCAGTCTCTACAAGCTAAGAACTTCAGGCCAGGAAATGACTCCTTATAGCTGATCCAAGAGAGGAAGAGATTCAGGTATTTCCAATAGACAGGGCTCTGAGGAAGGAGACCAAATGAGCAATGATGTCACCCATGAGCATATCCCACACTTGCTAAGGTAGAGGAATCTCCTAGACAGGTTTTTCCAAAATACAGATTCTCAGGAGCAAAAAGTTCACAAAACAACAAGTACACATACATGAGGTACACAACATAACAAGTCTCAACCAATTGTGATGAGTGAAAAAGCCAGACAAACACATAGTATCTGGCTGCACTAAATCTCCAGAAAATGAAAACTAATCTAAAGTAACAGAAAGCAGCATAGCCATTGAGGTTGGAGGAGAACAGAGGAGAAGGTATTGCAGAAGGGCAGAAGGACACTTTGGAGGGCTGATGCAATGTTCACTCTCTTGATTGACACAGGGCTTGCAAGTGTACTCCTATGGCAAAATCTATCAAGGTGTGTAGTTTGAGGATCATTGTATCATTAAAACTTCAATAATGCTGTTAAAAATCAAAAATATCCCTTCGTGTAACTAGTTAATAATAGAATTTAATAAAGCTAGTATAAATTCTCAAGTGCAAATGCATCTGGATTGCTGCATACATAAGAATCTGTTTTTGTTTTAATAAAGTAATTGTAAAAAGGGGTTTCAATTCAATAAATGATTACAAGTACAATGTATCTTTTTTTTTTGTCAGTCATAGAGTTCGATATCAGGGCCTAAGCACTGTCCCTGAGCTCTTTTGCTCAAAGGTAGTACTCTACTACTTTAAGCCACAGTTCAATATCTAGCTTTCTGGTTGTTAATTGAAAATAAGATTCTCATGGGAACTTTTCTGCCTGGACTGGCTCTGAAACCTGATTCCTAGATCTCAGCCTTCAGAGTAGGTAGGATTACAATTGTGAGCCTCCAGAGCCCAGCAAAAATGTATGTTACTCTCTCTCATCCCATTATTCAACCATAAGTGTCTATTTTTTTAAAAAAACTTGCAATTTTAGACATTAGCATAAACTCAAATCCCATTATTTTACTGCAATATTTTATTAAAAGATATCCTTTTCAAAAGCAATCCATTCTAGTGCTATAATACAAGCCACACAGGAGTCTGATATTTAACCACTGAGGTTCAAAATCAAGCTGGGCAGAAAAGTCTATTAGACTCATCTCTAATTCCTGGGCCGAAAGTTGGAGATGGAGGTCTGATTCTAGTGGTAGAACTCTATTCTTAAGCTAAAGAAACAAGCATAAGCTAAAGAGCCAAATATAAGATTGAGGCCTTGAGTTCAAGCCTCAGTACCAGCACACACTCACACATAAACACACACACACACACACACACACACACACACACACACACACACACACACACACACACACACACACAAAGAGTAATTCTGCCTGCTAGCCTGGTGATTGGAAATTTTGAATTTTGATGTAAAACACTTATGGTACCATTCTTTTTTTTAAAGCTTAACAGTACCTTATTTTATTTTTAAAATAAAATTCCCTGTGGGGGGAAAAAAGTCTTCCAGAGTTGGACATAAGCTCCTGATATAATGGCAACTAAAAGGAAAAAAAAGAGTAGGAGAAAAATAACCTACTTATACATCTACTGCTGTGTTAAGGTATATAGCAGAATGCAGAGACATCTCCAAACTCTAAATACACATCTTTAATCTGTGAATAACTATAGAACAATTATTACATTAAAAGATAATGTTCCTATTTTACTAATATATGATCTGGAACAGATCTGCATTACTTCAGTGATAAAAAATAAGCAAAACTCTATTTTCAAAGTTAGCGATTCCCCTCCACGCTCATGCTTGGTGTGGCTCTGTTATCCACTGACATTCTAAACATATCCTGTCCACAGCTGACTGCTGAAATAGCAGCACCCTATCTCCACTGCTACTCCAAAATCATGCTTTATGAACAAACACAGAAATAAAATAAACCTGTGAATCAATGACAAACAGATGGAGAGGAAGGAAAGGGAAGCAGGGAGAAAATAGGTAACTGAGAGATAAACAAAGGAGAAGGCAGGGGAAGAGAGGAAGAAGACACCAGACAAACCTCACAGCTGTTTGGTGACCTCACATATAACATGTGTGCATCATAGAGGGTAATACAAACAACACAAACACAGTGACCAGACCAGGAAGGAAACCAGATCAAACTTTTACATAAAATGTCTTTCAGTTTGAGAAGCTGGAGAGAGAGGTACAAGGATGGATACTTGCAATTTTCCAACAACTGGATTTTCTCATACAAAGCTGCCCTTCTGAAAGGCCTACCTGCCTCCAGTGTAACATATCTTGCACAGAAGTTCCAGCAGGATTGTGTGCCCCATAGACATCCACTCTTGACTGTACGATAAACATGACAGATTAAAGAATGAAAACAGCTTTAAGGTGATACTGAAAATCAACACAATTTGTTGTTTCAAAAATTAAAAACTACAGAACTACAATCTCAAATATACGAGATTAGAATGGAAATAGAATTCTTTATAATTATGTCCTATAAAATACGAATAAGCATAGAGGGTATTGAAGAATACAGTTTTCAATCAGAGGCCATTTTTACTTCATTCTTTATGCTATCTTGAACGTGCAAAATTGTAAATGGCAATCACACTACCTTTAACAATAAGAAAAAAGTGATATTACTCTGAAAAATTCATACAGCCATTGCTCCAGAATTGTGTTTTTGAGACAAGGTATCATAGGCAGCCTAGGCTGGCCTCTGACTTACGTCCCCTCTGCCCTGGTGTATCATATCCTGAGATTACAGGGGGTAGCCACAATGCCTGGCTTCATTCCAGACTCTAAAAACTTATTTTCAAAATTTAGCATTGTGCTTTATAAAGAAAAGGTCATTTCTGGCCGAAGACTTGCATTTAGTAAAGCAAGTAAATATATATGTATCATATATGTACATATATTCACATATATGAATGTGTTATATATATGTGTGTATGTGCATAGGAAGGTATGAGTGTGTATATAATGGAAACTCCAAACTGGAACCCACAAATTTGTTAAAAGAAATATGCAAATATAGTGGCTTAAATTGTGGCAGATCCTCATGTAATTCTCCACAGAAGAAAAAAACAACCATGAGGACAAATGCAACCATACTCATTTACTGAAAAGCACTTTTGATAATCTTGAAAGAAAGGCCCTTCAGAGCTCTAACAAGGTCATTGCTGTGTCTCCCACATCATCCAAATTAAGCACATTGCAAGATCAAAACCACTGAGTGTTTAAATCGATTCTGAACATAACTATACATACCATATTTAAATTCCTCTCATCAAATCCACACAGGAGAAAAAATAAATTTCCACAAAGCTCCTTCAGAATTGCATGGGTACAAAAATGGGTACTCAGCCACTTTGTGACTGGATTCTCAGGAAAGAATTCTTTGTGCCCAAGTACATCCTACAAAATATAAAGAATCCCAAGATTGACTCAGCATTTCCTGCTGGGATGGAAGCTTCCACAACTCCCTGCAGAAGCACAGACACACAAATATCCCTCCCAGTAGCCTCAGGAGCAAAATATAGACTAGTTGATATTCAAGTGAGTATATACAACAAGTATAGATATGTTAGAGACATGGAATTCAGTTTTCAAAGTGAAACACAGAAAATTGAATACATTCTAACAGACTTTATAAAGGGCAAGAGCCAGGACCCTTGGTACCAGGGCCAACCCCAGTTAGTTTTCTGTGATGGATGGTAGTGACTTCTGGACAGTCAGCCCTGGGACTGGTGAGCACTATTCTAGTCCTGCGTGCGTGTACACCAAGATATGCCACAGAGGGTTTTGTTCCATAATGATAAAACATGGGTAATGCAAAATGTAACATTTTAATCATTTTTATGTGTTTAGTTGCAGCAACTGTAGTCACACTGTGTGGGACAATCGCCATTATCCATTTCCAGAACATTCTCAGCCTCCTACTCTCAAACTCTGTTCCCAGTAATTACACAGTCTCATCCCCATCCTCCTGTTCCCATTGTTGCATGCTTTTATAAGAAAAGCTTTACTGAAGCACAGCCACATTATCTGTTTTCATTGCCTATTTTTATTGCACAAGGGTAGAATGCAATTCTTACAGAAAAAAACTCCAGGGGACCAGTCCAACAGTTTATAAAAAAATTATCAAACACTGGTCTACAGTATCCCAAACCAGTGGTCAGAAAGTCAGTACTGATAAGGCACTACCAGAGAAATTATTACATTCTTAAGACATGTAGTATGCAACAGGAAATGGGGAAAATCTCTTTTTATATTCAAATCTCTCTTTATATTCAAATTATCTTGCTCATGTCTACTACCTAGAGGGACAAGTTGGAAAGGAACGCAGGTTCAGGGGTCAAATTTATGATTTTGTTAAAAAAAAATTAGACATAGAGTCCTTAACTGCCAGTATTTTAGAATGGCCTTGCTTGGATCTTTGTAGAAGAATCAAGTGAAAATAGCCATCCTTAAGGAAAGAGGAAATGTGGACATGGAGATAGATAGGAACAGAGGCAAACACCAAGAGAAGAGAAAGGCAGAAATTGGAATGATGCTTCCACCAACAGGAATGGCCAAAGATTGCAAACAACATAGAACACATTTGTCGTCATAGTCTAGCAAACTAATATAAGTGGGAATATAAGGATAAATGGGCAGATCTCCAGAGGACAAGTGCCACCTGTCTCAGATTTAATGATTACAGTGTCCGTTAGCAACCTCAGGCAATTGCTTGGTACAGTGACTGTGAGACTGGAATTTTGGCCAGCAAACAGCATATTCCCTTAGTCCAAACTTTCCTTTTATAAGAAATTGGAATATATCCTTCAATAATGATAATAAGCATACCATGATAAGTACACAAACCAGTGATAGTTACTTATTATCATTATCCAGTATTATGCGCTATACATAATTGCATTGCTAGACTTTTAATTAGGACTGTGAATGCAGTCAGTTGGTTTACATCACCAGTTAGGCTGAACTGCAAATTCACTAGGTGACAGGAAATATCCGGCTCTATTATGATCTTACAGGGGTGGCACCCAATATGAGGTCCCTTATTGAATGAAAGCACATTACATGCTGCATGATCATGTAGTTTCCTGGACAAGATTTCAATTATGTACATGCTTGTATAAATGTATAAGGCATCTAATGCAAGAATTAAGGGCCTTCTGTTTTCAGAGAGCTTAAAACAACTCTTGACTGCTATATCCTCCTTGTATAGAACTTGGAACTGCAAAGATAGTGGCTGAGGGCTGATGTGTTTGGTGGCCAGGTTGGAGAATATAATTAAACAACATCTTTATATCATCATCCTGTGTTGAGGGATGCCCTGTGGAAATGGTGCACATCCTATCTGCCGTCTCCCATCTACTGTTGTGCAAGAACTCACATCCCTGAATAAAATGCTAGCACTGCTCATGTTTAAATAATATTTCCTCTGTAGTGGACAGAGAGCTGGACTAACATGTTAGTTATGAATACTCACAGCTGCAGTGTTCACAAATAATACACTTCCAAGGCCCCCAGCCATAGCAAGCAGTGGTGAAGGAAAGAAGAGAATCCCGTTGCTCTGCTAAGAGCAAACCCAGAGAAGGACAGCAGAGTCTCCCTCCAAGGAACAGTGCTTCAATCTGAAGAGGGAATCTGTCAGGAAGAGAAAGAGGGGGGCAAGCCGTGTACCTCAAAGAAAACTTCGGGGAGGATTCCTAACTTGGTTAGAGGACTGGAACTGAAAACCAGTGAAACCACAGGAGCCAAGGCAAAGAACATTTTGATTTTTTTGGCCAGTTCAGGGATCTGTGAAAATCCTATAAAACCTGTGGGAACAAAAAGGAAGATAAGAGGAATTCCATCTTCTAGGACTTTCCTTCTCAGAAAAGACAGGAGAGATCTAGCATCACTTGTGAGGCCCTCCAGAAACAGCCAGAGAAGGGTGCAGAGATACCACCCTGAGGAAGGAGAGCACCTGAAATGAGGCCCTGGTCAGCAGCAAACATGGAATTTAATCAAACTGGAAAAATGTGAGGCATTGCTAAGTGCTTTTATTGAGTCTAAACTCAGACATGCATAGGAAAAACCAAGAACGGGAAAATCCCAAAATCTTTCTGTATTCTTTAACAATGTAAAAGTAAGTTTATAACATTTCATGAGCTCTACTCCAAGTCTCTTGAATCCCCTGGTGCTCCCTTCATCCCTAAGTTACAGATCCAAACAGATCCATTCAAATAGACACTTCTCACAAGAGAAACTCAAACATTTAGAATTCCCTGAAGTGTCATTTAGCTTTCTCTCTGGTCAGTTCTTGCAACTTGGTCTGAGAATGTCACTTTAGAAAACACTGGGACATCACAAATAAACTGTTCATAAAAGAAGAAATATAAATGAAGAATGATGTCCAGTCACATTTTACTGAACATGGTACAATTTAACCCGATATATCAGTAAGACTAAAAGCATTCATAGTTGTCACAGGAGAATATTGTACAGACAGCATGTGATATGAAGACAGAATTATTAGTCACTAATCACAAAAGAGGAGAATTAATTGAATTATGAGGCTGGTTCTTGGACTTTCGTTAGAGAAATTTGCTTGTTACAAGGAAAGACAATTTGTATTTTCTATAAACTTTATACTACATTTTATGTTTCAAAAACATGCTCATTTTATGATCAGCATAACATAAAATATGCACATAGATTTTAAAACTGTAAATAAAGTCTAACCTGTCAGACTTTTATTCTTCTTAAATTTCACCTCTTTCTTTTTTTGATCCCTTCTCTCTCTGAATTTATTTATTTATTTACTTACTTACTTACTCAAATTTTATATACTGGGGATATCCCAGAGCTTTGTATAAGCTAAACAAGTGATCTATGACTTGGCCACATCCCTAAACCCTCCACTGAACTTTAAAAGTTAGTTTATCCTCTTATTTCTACATTGAAGTCTCTAACCTTAGAAAACTTCCATTTTTTCAACCTTCTCACATCCTTATATTGTTAACAGGAAAAATACATGAGAGGATGTGGCTTAGATTAACTCTTTCAGTTTGAAGAGAACCACATATACCGTAGTTAGAAATTTATAATAAAATCTAAATTCCCATATAAAACCAAATATGAAAATCTTTTTGCCCTTCTATGATTTCTTCTTGACATTTTAAAAAGGAACTGTATTTGAACTTTGTGGCTTTCTTATGTTTCTCTTATAAAAACCACCTAAACTCAATAGTATATCCATTCTATCAACTTCCAGGCTTTACTGCATACATACCGATGGTGGTGCCTTGAGAATGACCCACATAATACAACTGCTTTTGGCCAGTTTTATTCAGAATGTAGTCAATGGAAGCTGGGAGATCATATTTTGCCATCTCATCAAAACTAGAATCCAAAAACAAACAAACAAACAAGATCTTGTACATTGAACAGTTGCATGAATACACAAACACTAAGCTTGGAACTTGAACTATTGTCACATACTGAACTGGATACGCCAGTGCTGAGCTCAGGAAACTGAACTTTACCCAGGATGACAGAACATCCTTGGATTCCATTGCATATGCGCCTCTCAGAAAGAAAAATTACCCTAATCTTTCTCTATACCCTCTGCTTGTCTTCTTGGTTTCATCCATGTTGCTGCATAAAAATGTAGTTGTCACATTTTATTTTGTTACTACACCACACTCTCATTGCCCATTTAGAATACTCATCTGTGGCATGTATTGAGGTAAATTCCAGACTTTCACTATCACAAACAGGTGACAATAAGCATTTTCTGATATATGCCTTTTGGTAAAAGTTCTTATTCATGGATTTCATGTCATCAGAGAAACTCTGGTTGTATAAATAGAAGTCAAGACTAGAGATGGCCAGAATTCTGACCTTTGCTAATACCTCCAACATCAAGCTGTAGCACCAAAACAGGTAGGTGGAAGTGGGGTCTGTGTGTGTGTGTGTGTGTGTGTTTGTGTGTGTGTGTGTGTGTGTGTGTTTGTGGGGGGGGGGTGTGGCTGTGTGTAGCATCACAATCAGATGAGCCAAGTGTTCTCATATATTTTACAATAGGCCAGGCTCTGGTCTGTGAGGTTCTTTACCTGTATCTTCTACTATCAGCCTTCTATAAACCTTATGAGATAGATGTTCATTAGTCCATGTCATAAATAATCAGATGCCAGGGTTTATATAATGTATCCAGTGTCATATGACACCGATTAGTGGATCCAGAAGTAAGAACAGAAAAGAGTTTCTGAAAGGAAGAAAAGTGAACATCTGGGAAATGTGTTTGTGGAGAAGAGGAAGAGTAGCTGACTCCAAAGTCCCCATACCACAAGGAATGCCAAAATTCGCAGCTGAATGTCATTATGAATGTGATTTTTTCTCTCTAATTTACTTTAATACTCATTATTAAGTTGTAAGGTTTACAACTTCAGAGTTATTTATGGAAGGACTCTTCTGCTGAAGTCCTGGGTATCTTTCTGCTTTTTAGGTGTCACAGAAATGAACTCAAGTCATAATCAACTGCAATGATGTACCTGAAAGCCCAGAATTCATCCTGAGAAACTGAGAGAGTCTTGTGTTTCCGAGACCACGTGTTTCCTCTACTGTTCCCCATCCACACATCAAAACCAGCATCAGCAAGCATGAATCCCAGGCTGTTGTTGTCGGTGTTTGTAACCCAGTTACTGGAATCGGCTAACAAACCATGCTGAAGATAGACAACTGGTTTGGGAACTGAAAAACATTCATGTTTAAGGATAGTAAGTATAAGTTTCACAACAAACAAGATGTCTTGATGAGCATAAAATTGTTTAAGAAATACCAAAACAAAGAACTTGAAATAAATTAAAATAGGAGTGAGCCCAGCACCAGTTGCTCATGCCTGATATCAGAGCTACTTAGAAGATTTGAGGATTGCAGTTACAAGTCAGCCTGGACAGAAAAATCTCTGTCAGATTCTTATCTCCAATGATCCACTCAAAAGCTAGAAGTGGCACTGTTGTTCAAGTTATAGCACTAGTCCTAAGCCCAAAGATGCTCAGGAACCGAGCCCAGGCCTTGAATGCATGCCCCCACAACTGGAAAAAAAAAGTGTTGAGGTGGTATTTTGCATTTGTATAACACTAAAGAGATATTTTAAAGAGTACTAACAAGGTAGAACCAAAATTGGATGTGTGTGTGTGTTGGGGGGGGGCGGGGGAGGAGACACAATTTCAAGGCCTGAGTGCTGTCCTGTAGCTTTTTTGCTTAAGGCTATTGCTCTGCCACTCAAGCCACAGTTCCATATCCAGCTTTCTGTCAGTTAATTGAAGATAAGTATCTATGAATATATCTTGACATAAAGAATATATACAAAAGGGGCTGGGATATAGCTTAGAGGAAAAGGACTTGCCTAGCCTAGTGCAACATCCTAGGATCAATCCCATTACCAAAAAGAAAAGAGCAAAAATATTAATATATATACAAAAGATAAAAATTTATAAACATTTTTATGTAATTAACTTGGCTGTAATTTAAAAGCTTATCTAAAGATTTTTGTAAGATTTAAGATTAACGCATTAACATGAATTGACTTCCTCAATCTCTATTAAAATAACTGCTTGTGTAGTATTAACCTTATCAAGAATTGAACAAACACACACAAACACAGCACAATCTCAGTAGTTCAAGCCCTAGTCCTGGCACATACAAATAACACGTAAATGGAAACAATCAAATAGAAAAAATCGCACAAAAATTCAAACATGTGTCTACACACATGTTTTCTACTCATCTGAGACAGAGAAATGGAAGAAGAAAACACAAAACTAAGACAGGAAAGAAACATGAGCTCAAGCTCCCTTGAGTGTTGAGATCATTCAATAACTAAACAAACACTAATTCCGCACCAACTATATGCCAGCCATCTTTCTAAGCACAGGGAAGAACACTAAATTAATTTTTGAAAATATCCTAGTGAAATACCTTTGCAATATATTAACTTATGCTAATAAAAATAAACACTGGGTTTTTGCAAAGGGGACATAGCAAAGAACAAAAATGGCAGGAACAAAACATCATCCCTATAAAATCACCATTACATTGACCATGAACCAGACAGACCTCTGTTCTTGCCATGTTTTGACATGACACCTTGAACAATCCTCAAAATGTCTATCAGCCCTGCAGAGTGAACATGATAATATGTGCCTTACACGGAACAATGACCTGTGAGATTTTTCTCTGAGAAGTTCTGAACCACTTGTCTGAAATGCAGGAAGGGTGCAATATACATCAGCTACTAATATTCCTTTGCTATTTGGCCAACCTGAGCCTCAGTTTCATAAATAATTGTTCAGAGGAATGAATGAAATCACTGAGCCAAGCATGCTTGGGCATGTCTGTGGAACCATCAATCAGAAGATTAGGGCCAGAAGATCAAGGGTTCAAAGTTAGCCTGGGCTACATAGTAAGACCCTTTTTTTTTAAGGAAAAATATAAAGAAAAGGAAGATAGTGCAGTGTGAAACACAGTAAATAACACATCATTTAAACCAAACAAGAACTCATTGTGTGCCTTCTACTCATCCTTTATATTAGTAAACCAATGGAAATAAGCTAATTGTGAGGTGGTCAAATAATTAAAATGCAATCCATTTAATATAATAAATCTCCATTAACAAAGACAGGGACTATGCAAAAATCTAAGACCATAACTTTTTTTAAAAAAAATGTATACTTCAAAATTGTAGACTACCCTATACTGTAGCAGTGCAAAATAATACAAGCAATGAGGAGTATAAAATACCACGAAAAAAATTGGAAAAATGATTTTCTGGAAAGAGATTAGAATTGAATTGACAAATTGTAATACTGCTGAGTTTTAATATCTATAGTGTTTCCTTGATATCCACAGGATATTGGCTCCAGGAAACTCAAGGTAGATACCAAAACCCATGGACGCTCCAATCTTTATTAAAAAAAACATAGTTGTATTTGTATGAAGCTTGTGCATATCTTCCCCATACTGTAAATCCATTCTAATCAACTTATGACTAATGCACTGCAAATGTTCTTTCCTTTTCTTTTCTTTTTATTTTTGTTGGTCGTGGGAGCTGAACTGTGGGCCTAGGCGCTGTCCCTCAGTTCTTCAGCTCAAGGCTAGCATCATATCACTTGAGCAGCAGAACCACTTCCTGCATTTTTCTGCTTATGTGATGCTGAGGAATTAAACCCAGGGCCTCATGCAAGCGAGGCAAGTGCTCTACCACTGAGCCACCTTCCCAGCCCCTAAACGTTCATATTTTAAATGTCAATTATACTGTATTGTTCAAGGAATACTGATAAGATAAAAGTGTGTGTGACTCTGTGTGTGTGTGTGTAAATACTAGGGCTAGAGGTCCTGTACTCATTTGGCTTTTTTGTTCACTGCTGGCATTCTACTACTACTTGACCCATATGTCCAGTTCTGCCTTTATTTTTTTAATTGGAAAAAGAGTCTTGCAATCTTTCCTTCCCAGGCTGGCCACAAACTGTAATCCAAACATCTCCACCTCCTGAGTAGCTAGGATTAGTGGTGTAAGCCAAAGGCACCCAAATTTTTACCATTATTTTCAGTCTATGGTTGGTTAAATCTACAAATGCAAACTTCACAAATATAGAAAACCAACTATATTTTGGCAATCATTAAATGATTTTTCAAGAGGGTTCCTCTGACACAAGATAAGTTTACATGAAGACATGTCCCAGAGCTGGGCAATGCAGGGGTGCAGATGCACTCATAAATTTAAAAGTGGGAGAGGAAGAATCCAAAGTCAAAAACACTCCTAGGATTTTCTGACCAAAATATATGCAGCCCTCTGCACTTACAGGGCCAACATATGTCCTTCCTCTTGGGACTCAAACACATAGAGCTCCCCTATCATCCAGTAATCCCACTTTCAGGCATTTGCCCAAATGACCACAAACAAGGCCACACTAAAGCTACCAGAACAACTATGATTATCACAGCATTATTCACCATAGCTAAGATATGGAGCCAAACCAGATGCCCCTCAATAGATGAATGGATGAAGAAGAGAGAGAGAGAACGAGAGAGAGAGGTGGGGGGGGGGAATCTATGATTCCATCAGAAAGAATGATACTGCCCCATCTGTAAGGAAATGGAAAGACTTGGAAAAATTCATATTGAATGAAATAAGCCAGACTCAAAGAAACATAGGTCCCTTGGGCTGGGAAGGTGGCTCAGTGGCAGAGCGCTTGCTTTGCATGCATGGGGCCCTGGGTTCAATTCCTCAGCACCATAAAAGCAGAGAAAAAAAAGCCAGAAGTGGCGCTGTAGCTCAAGTGGTAGAGCCCTAACCTTGAGCTGAAGAGCTGACACAGCACCCAGGCCCAGAGTTCAGGCCCACGACCAGACCCAAAAAAAAAAAAAAAAAAGGAAAGAAGGAAAGAAAGAAAGAGAAACATAGGTCCCATGGTTTCCCTTATTTGCAAGAAGTGGTATATGTCTAGGATAATCTTAGCAGATGAGCAGAATAGCTCAATAGTTATGTACTTATGATCATATAAGAAGATGCTAAACAAAATGAACTCCAAGACATGGACACAAGAGGTTTCCTTTATTGTTGTTGTTTTTAATGTACTATGTGATTTCTTGTTTCTTTTGTGTGTTTTTCCCCTATGGTTTCTCCCCTGTTGTCACTGTATTTGATTTTGGTACTCTAGGTATGGTGTATATGTTTTTCTGAATTAAGGAAAGAAAGGAAAACACCAAAATGGTGAGACAAAGGACAAGGGGGGAAGCAAGGCAACAGCGATACTCACAAGACAGTGTTGGAAGTGAATTGTATAGCTTGGGGGAAAGGGGGAAGGGAAATTGGGAGAAAAATGAGGAAAGGGGTAACAAATTCAAGAAATGTACTTATTACCTTACTTGTGCAACTGTAACCCCTCTGTACATCACCTTGACAATAAAAATAAATAAATGAATAAATAAACAAGAAACAAATAGGCCAAGCCTGGAGCTCATAAAGGTGAGGCTCTGCTTTTGAATGCTCCTTTTAATGCTACCTTAAAGAGGCCAAATTTCCTATGAAAATTACAGTGGCACTGTGGTAGATACAGCATCTATGAACAGGCTTTCTGAGGATTCTCATGCAGCTCCAGAAAGAAGAAAAAGTAATCATTACAATAAGTTTGTAATTATGAACATCAGGATGACAATAACCATAGAATCCCATCCCCCTCAGTGTCCTGATAGGAAGGCCAGTGGGCCTTCAGCCTGCCAAGTGCAACAACTGTACCTGGTGAGTCTCTGCTTTTAATCAATTCTCTGAAGAAAGTTTCACTAAAAACTAGAGGGACAGAAGAAAGGTTTTTGCATACAAATGTTCCGTCTGCCTCTAGCTATTTCACAGCAAGCCAAACAGCATTCCCCTAAACCAACTCCATGTTGAAATCCCACAAAAGTTTGAATAAAACATTCCTGACCCTGGACCTCTGGAATTACTAGTTTTTTGACAAGCTCCCACAGCTCTTCTGAACAAGCCCTTCCACCGCCATTCTAATCACAGAGGAAGTCTACCCATCTGCTCTTCTGAGCTGGCCCAGAGAAGAATGTGCATGGTTAACACTGAACACATCCCTGAGGTGAATTCTCCCCCCAGGGGCTCCCTCTCAAGGATCACATGAGGTAATGAGGGGTATAGCATGCTTGAGGCCCTGGCTTCATGCTCCAGCACCACAAATAATTAA